CCTGTGACTCTTGCCATTTCGGTGTAGTTTTCGAGGCAGGAGAGCTTGTCCATCAGCCGCTGGGGGAGGTAGGCGTCTTTGAGACAGTACAGTGCCAGTCTTCGCCTCGACTCAGGGGTTCCCTCGAAAAGCTCCGTGATCATGGAGTGATGCACGTCCTCCTTTTGCTCGCCGAGAAAATGAGAGCAGACCGAGTTCAGGGTGTAACTTCGAAGTTGGTGGTCACGTTGAATCAGTTGCAACAGATCGAGCTGGAGCCGTCCGTTTGTGTTTGTGGCCTTGGTGTCGCGGTTGCCCATCTGCTTGCTGGAGAAGTTGGTCTCCTTCGACACGGACTTGACATGAGTGCGGGACCAATACTCAAAGCCGTGAACTTTGAGGTGCCGGGCACGGTCAAGAAGATAAGGGAAATCGAAGTTGGCAATATTGTAGCCGGTGATGATGTCGGGGTCCACCTTCTCGAGGAAGTCCCTCCATGAGGAAAGCATTTTCTCCTCCTTGTCAAAGGACAGGATCTGCGTGGCGACGATGGGGCTTGCTTGTCGAGACAAAAGACGTTCCGAACGAAGGGCTTCTTGTCTCCGTACTTGGTGACGACGTTCGCGATCTGGATGACGGAATCGTGGTTGGCCTCGGGGAAGATACCCTTGCGACCGGCGCACTCGATATCAAAGGAGAGAATTCGCAGGGGAGCCATCTTGGACCACTCGCCGACGGGCTTGTGAGCGATCAGGTCTCTGTAGCTTATCTGCGCCTCAATCTGGCAGTTGGACTGCTTGTCGTTCATGATCGCATACCGGCCTGCCGGTGCCTCAACCCAAGCCATGCCTGCAATCTGCGCCAACGATCAGCCCTTACTCCTAAATCACCTTGCGGATGGTTTGTTCATACCGAGCAGTCAACCATGAACCGGAGCAGATACTGAATGTTGTCGTAGGTCATGATGGTGCCGTCGGCGCTCTTCCACATGCCCTTCCAATTGGCATCACCCCGCTCGATTGTTGTGCGGACGCGGTTGATGAGTTTTGGGTCATTTACGGTGATCTTGAGATAAGGATTTTGAATGTTCCCCTGAAAGCCGTAGATGTTTTCTCGCATCGTCAGGACGACCGAGTGGATGGCGGGCTGGTGCATCGCCAGCTGTGTCTCGAGATAGGCGCGGAACTTGGGGCAATCCTCGGCAGTGAAGGAAACTGGGGCAGCGACATAGAGGTAGTGCTTAAAGTCCTTCACGTGGAGGAGGATAGAGTTCCCGTGCTCAGTGACGCCAAAGAGCTTTACTGTGGCCTGACCGCCGGCAATAGTACCCTCCTCAGCCTCGATGGCCTGGAAACAGAGGCTGTCCCTGTCTGGGTCGTAGTTGCTGGGCACAGGTGGGCGATCCCACACCTGGTCCTTCTCTGCATTGCTCTGCTTAAGGTCCGAGATGTCCTGGCTCATGCGCTCGAGCACTTCGCTCTCGAACGCGCTCTTCTGCTGGCTCGAGGCGAGCTTGCCCCGGGCATCGCTCTGGGAGCTCTTGAAACGGGCTGCGGGAGAGGAGGAGGGTTCGTCCAGACGGCGCTTCTTCGCGGAGATGGGAGTGGCGACGATGTTGCGACGGGCACTCGAGGCCTCGCCGAACACCCGCTTCTGGGGGAGGGTCGCGGAGGGCATTGTGAGAGTGGGCACGGTTTGTGGGAGCTGAGAGGGTCACTGTCGGGTAATGGATTGTGGTGTTGTGGTGTAATCAATTCGTCAGGTCATGAACGCCGATATCGTGGAGACGCCCGTGGACTGCTGGGCATCGTGCGCCAGGTTCGGAGTTGGAGTTGGGAAGATGGAGGGCAAGTGGGCTCGGATGCGGGTGATGCGGGTGATGGCACGAAAGAGCACGAAATTCACCCTCCAGAATCCCCGTTGACGCGCTCTTCCCCTTGTTACGTGACGTGCCCCACTTTCCAGACGCGACCAGTTTAATGGATCAGTCGCGGTACGTACCTTGCTGTTGGTTCACACCCACGCTGTTGTTATGAGACCATTCACGGTGGTGGAACCCGAGAGACCGGTCATCTCCCTGATGTGCCACAAATTAAATGGCAAGATCAAAAGCTCCCAAAACCATACCTCTTGTCGATAACGTTGATGGCAGACATCGGACGCACGTGAATGCGCGTTCCAGACCCTAACCCTTGCTCGATTTACCCCGCCAACCAACTGCATCAGCCAAACACTCAACTGTTTACTTCAGAATCGCGGTCAGCTCACACATTCCATTTCTCCGCAACAGCCATACGGAACATATCCTACAGACGTCTGTGAATCTTGCCTCTGCTCCAGATGGCTGACAGACATGTGCCCCCGGCCCGGATGCTCAATGCGGGCGTCTCCAAGGCGCGCAGCGGGATGACGTCGAGCTCTCACTCTCAGGGCGTTCGTCGCAACCTCTTCCAGAGCCAACTCACGCGCCGGCCGACAGCTCTCTCGGGATCGGAGGAGGAGGAACTGCATCTCGATGCTGAAGTGCATAGGGAGTCCCAGCATCGCCACCACAGCCACTTTCAACCCCAGCCCGAGACGGCTTTCCCGCAGGACGACATCGTCGTGCGCAACCACAACGGCGAGATTGAGCTGGGCGACCCCCCGACATTACCCCTGGACGAGGCTGAGGACATGGAGGCACTGGACGCACGGCACGAGAACGAAAAAGAAAGGCAGCGGCTTTGCGAAGCGGTGAAAGCATCAGATTGACCGGCATAGTGTTCCTGCACAACCCGAAGGCAAGGACCCCTCTTCTTCCACCAGCAGCAAGTGCTCTGGTGCTGGACACATCTCGTGTGATGTCGCTCTGACTAAGACCAACTGTTTTGCATCGTCTACAGAGCTCCTTGAGGCCGTCAAAAGCAAGCTTGCGAGCCAAGGTCGCCGCCTTGGACGAGGACAACTGGCTGTACGAGCCAGTTCAGCCATCGCAGCTCCATCAATGACCGGCCTCTTACTGGACTTAACGCTCATAAAGCCACTGAGTCTCGACTCTTTATGCGCGCATAAGACTATTGTGTCCCGGCTTCTCGGCTCGATTCGTCTAATTCCCCAGCCCGTCCAACCCAGGAAACCGATCAGTCCAATCCCTCGGCAGCTGGGGGCGCCTCGACCCGACGGGCCGCTGGTCTACTTTGTCCACGCCTGGCGCACCGCCGCCAAACAAGCTGCCCATCATATCGAACAGCGGGTTGCTCTGCCGTGGCCTCTGGATGCCAAAGTACATCTCGGCAATCATCTCGAGCGCCGTGTCCCACGTCCCGCCAAGCTCATTGATATTGGCACCATATTTGCTCTTCAGCTGCCTGAACAGGTCCGGCGTGCCCTTTTGCACCGCCAAGAGGAGCAGCCCGAGGAAGTTGAGCAGCGGCAGGCTAGGGAAGATGCGCACGTCGGAACCTTGGGAGCTCACGTCCTGGACCGACAGGCCCTTGTTGTCGGCAGCCAGCGCGCTGACAAAGGCGCGGTAAGACGCGTTGGCAGCGCGGACGTTGGCGACGAGCAGATAGGGCAGCACGGCGCGGGCGCAGTAGAGGGGCGCCGTGTGGGAATCGTCCTCCTTGTACCACTCGTACTCCATGCGGCTGAGCACCTCGGGCGAGTCCTTGGTGCCGAGGATCAGGTGCCGTTCCGCCTCCTCGGCCTCGTGCTCGTCGGCGTAGAGCGAGCCGACCACATGGTGCAACTCCGGGTCGCCGGCGGGGTAGTCGCCGAACTTTTTGGACCACCTGTATATTGTCACCCCATTAGCAACCAAACCACCAATCCAGACCCCCAAGATCCCATCATGAACCACTGTATTAGTGAAATAAGACGAGAGAGAGAGAAAGAAAAGAACGCACTCAATCATCTCCTTGATAAACTTCTTCCTCGTCGGCTCCGCCCTGTCAAACAGCCTCAGGCACGTCACCAGCTTGCCCTTGGCGCCGCCGTCGGGCTTCTGCCCAGCCTGCCGGTACACGTCGACCAGCAGGATGGCCAGGTCGCCGCCGCTGCCGCCCTGGCCCGCCCGCAGCAGCGCCTGCGACACGTGCGACAGGATGTCGATGGCGGCCGGCCAGTTGGCCTGCTTGGTGTAGCGCGCCGCCACCAGCCGCGTCTCCTGCGCCGCCTCGTACTGCTCCTCGAAGGCGCCCTCGGCGATGCGCTTTTGCAGGCGCGCGATGATCTTTTCGATTTTGGAAGAGGACATGGTGGGCGAGTTTTGGAGGGGAGTTTGCTTTGCAGGGAGCTGGCGCGCAAAAAAAAGGGAGAGAGGGCTGTGATGACGCCTAGGGTGATGTTGGTCGGGATCGCCGTTGTCTGGGTAGTGTTTTCCCTGCTCGCACTGCTATCGGTGTGAAAACTTGAAGTGGAGTTTGTCGTGGAAGGAATCAGAAGACGGTGGTCGGTCGGGCTACTCCGATATAAACAGCTGTTGTGTTAGAAGAAGCTCTCCGAAGCTGTCTGGTGGTGGTGGTGATGGCGCCAAGTTTCACGATCAAGCTGCACAGAAGTCCCCGCCCAGCTCGGTCAGGTCGGTCCCGCCAAGCTGGAAACTGCCCCGCATCGGTTCTCTCAAATTCCACAGCTCCTGTCCCGTGTAAGCCAACGACAAAGACGTCTCCCGAATTGAGCATGTTTGCATGTTCTCTCCCACCTCTCATCGAGCGTGTATCTTAAACCTTCCTTCATTTTTCAATCTTCCTCTTTTCTTCTTCTCATCCTCAAACCTCTTCATCCCTCTCCAATGCCACTCCAACACCTGCCTTCCCACTTCACAGTCCATCTACCCCAACCCCTTCCTAAAAAGAAAAGCGGAGCCACCACCACAAGTGGAACATAATCCACATTGGTGTGTACCACAAACCCCGTTTCCCCCTCCCCTCCCCTCCCCTTTTTCCCCCTCCCTTCCTCCCCAAACAAACCCGATGTCCGCTCCATATGATCCCGAAACCACCGGCACCTTCCCAACCAAGCAAAGCAAAGCAAAGCAAAATGCGACGTTGGTGTAATGGTTAGCATCTACGTTTCCCATCTATGTCCCAGTGGCCTGCGTAGGATTCGAGTTCGATTCTTGAACGTCGCAAATCAAACACAATGCAAATGCGTTTACTTTTTGTCTTTTTGTCTTCTCATCAATAGACAGCTCAGGGGGCCGGCCATAGGGATGACATACACTTGCTCTTTTTGTGTCCAGAGTGGCTCAGTGGTTGTGTTGCTACTGCCCTGGGTCAACCAGTTCAAGGGTTTGCTGGGTGCGGAAACTCTTCCTCTTCACTGCTCTGTCAACCCTCATCAAGGGCCTGCTGCGTGGTGTGTAACGCCGACATCGTGGCGAGTACTACACCGCTGTAAGGTCGCCATGATCCCACTGCGGCGGTTCTTGACCGTCCATGGATTCCGCCTGTCACCTCCTTCCTTTCACAACACGCCACCTTGCCTGCCTGGAACAGAACTTGTCAAACTCGAACATGCTCCCATGAAAATTGCTCAGGGGTATCATCCGTCCATGTGTATGTATCCGAAATGCTGCCCCCACCAAAAGTCCAGCCTAAATCATCACAACAGATCCAAATCTAAAGTCCCATCCGCCTGAACCATGAATGCATCCATGCAAGCCCAATCCAACGCTTACGCATATCGGTCTCACCTCTCACTCGACTAAACTACACACCCCTTCCCCCCCCAGGCGCCCGAACCTAAGCGCCGTTGACCTGCGTCTCCGGAGGGGCATCTTTCTCGTCCCCCAGGTCAATCAGCGGCTCCTCCTCCGCCGCCGCCGCCGCCGCCGCTGCCGCGCCGTTGGCTGCAGCACCACCGTTTTTGTTCGGCCTCGTCAGAAACAGCGTGTTAGGCCGCTCCTGCATCTCAGGCACCCGAGGTGGTGGCTGCCCCCCACTGCCCTTGACATCCTGCAACGACACCTGCGCCAGGGCGGGCGACATGCCCGTCTCCATCTCGATATCGTTCGCGTACGCCGGGAGCGAAGCCGAGCCTCCTCTGGGTGGTGGTAGCGGTGGGAACTCGACAAGATCCGGAATACCCTCATCTTGCGGCGCGGTAGCCGTATGCCGATCCGGCGCCGAGGCCGGGGTATCTCCCACAGCACCAAACATCGAATCGTTGTCAAACGGCGCGTCGCGCATGTCTTCGTCGAAGTCGCCCGCCGACGCGTGGTTGGTGGCCATCGAGTCGATGCTGACCGAGCGCTGCAGCCGTTTAGATTGGGATCCGTCGCCGGCCCCTGCGCTCCGCTTGTGGCTGCCGAGCCGGGTGGATTGGGATAGCTCCTGCTTGAAGTGCCGGTTGTCGAGCCGGACAAAGGTCTTCAGTGCGCTTGACAGCGGGATGGGTTCTTGCGCCAGGGCCTTGTCGGTTGCAAAGACCAGAATGGGTTGGCAGCCGGTCCCGCAGGCCTCGCGCATGACGGTTTCGTAGGTGACAGGCTGCGGAGGTGGTTAGCCGTGAGCGGCGCAAAACAAGGGGCAGGAGACTCACTGTGTGTTCGACCGTGTTGTCTTCGGTCTTGAAGGATATCTTCCACCACCCCTCCTCCCCTGGTACGGGGGCCTCCTGAGTCGGCGTGGCCTCAGAAGCGCTGGCCGGCCCCCGCATTCGTTGATAAACTGTGTTCGGCGCGTTCGCCACTCCGCGTAGTGTGTATTTGTGAGTCGGATTCCACTTCTCATCCGTCGAAGGCACCGTCAGCAGCGCTGACATTTTGCGGTTGATGTCATGGATGGCCTGCCTCTCGGGTATGATGTGTTCTAAGTCGTCTAGTCAGTGAATGTCCCGTGAGGCGGTCCCAAGTTGGGGTCCACATACCGTTCATAACTCGCTCCATCTCGACCAACTGCGCTTCAAGGTCGCGAATCTTGGCCTCGTAGTGGGCAACAACCTGAGCTTCGTCGGGCAACAGGCTTGGCTCGCCTTCGTGTTCTGGCAAGTAATACTCGCCTTCTCCATCAACGGCTGCCTGTTCGTGCTGCCTCCAGAATGCGCGCTGCCTAATTTTCCTCATCTTCTCCTGGCAACGCTGCACACCGGCCTTGATAAGGACCCTGCGGTCATAGATCTTGTTCGTTTGGGGGTTGACCCATCGTATCAGTTCCTCCTCCTTTTGCATACTGGCATCGTACGCCTTCAACAAGGCGACCATATCCAGCTGCAACTCGCGGACCTTTTGGGCGTTGATCTTCATGTACCTATCGAGGTAAAATGTCTCGGGTATTTCGAGCGGCTTAGGTAGGCCTTCGTCTCCTTGGAAGCGGCAAGTGAGCACTTCAGAGGCCTGTGTTATCCAGGCTATCCGCGCAGAGCCTGAGTCTTCCCTTGCCAACCTGAGGTCAACGAAGAATAGCCAGTCCAGGACGTTGTAGATATTCTCGGGCTGCGGGTCAGCCTCCTTGCTGACCTGGAGATCCAGTATCCCGAATTGCTCCTTGTGCTGCGGCTCAAAAGTGTCAAAAGATACTATCTCGACGGACGACATAAGCGTTTCTGCTTGGCCGGGACTGCCTCCAGCTTGTTGTAGTGTGTGAAAAAAGTTCTCGAAGAAATCCTTCTCCGGGTCGCCAGTCTCCTTTGTCTCCAGATGTTTGGCCCGAGTGAGCACGTCGGCTGTCCCATATGTCCGCTCTGTTGTTTCGAGGAAGGCTATCAAGCGATGAAGCTCGTCGGACCACGACAGACTCGAATCGTCAATCCAATCGGTTTCCGAGTGCCCTGGTGGCGGTATCGGTTGGCCTTGCCACCAGTCGCTCTTGTTGCCGTAGCCGTGACCAGGCGCATCGCCAGTCTGGAGGAGAGCATTGCGGACGGCAGGAATTTGCTGATATATCATCAGCAGAGCTCCAACGCGATGCGTCTTCCATGATATCTCAAAGCGACAACGCAACAAGACGGCTGCCCCCTCTTTCCTCGCTCTTAAGGATGGATCTGGGTCGCTCTCCTGGTTACCCAGCCGCACCATGGCCCACTCGTCCGGATCATAGTCGGGGCGGTTCGCAGGACCAAAGTGTACCGACGAGTCCCCGTTATTGGTGATGACACCTGACTGTTGCGGTAGCGGAGGGGGAGGTGGTGGGAAGGTCTGGGGACTCTGCACGCCTGAGGCGTTCAATGATTCGTTGATGGCTCGCTGCAAGTGGTCTTCCTCCTCCTGCCGATTACTCGGGGCGTCCGTGGTAAACTCGGGGGCGGTAACATCGACTAATCGGCTCATAGGCGATCGGTTGTTCGCTCTCGAGGGGGGCCGTGAGGGTGCGTCCCAGAAACTCTTGGGCTCGGTGCCGTAGATGACAGGCGGGTGTATCGCAAAAGCTAAGCTCGGTGTCGTCAGCACATGGCATCTTGCCCGTGTCCAGCAAAAAGGAGCACCCACCAGGAATGTTGGCGTTGTTGCCCGACGTATTCTCGTCTTCGCGCCCCGAGGAGAATGCGGCCTCATCCCAGCCGTATTTTCGCTTAAACTGCACAGGGTCAGCAGCCGCCGGCTGAACCAGCAGGGCCAGCAAGAGAGAGAATGGACAGACCTTGTCGGCGTCATCAAGATACTCATTGATGACGTTTTCAACATTGCCGTGGTTGCTCTTCAGTGCGTTTGCGATCATGGAATGGTTCTCGAAACCGGTAACCATAGCCACCATCTCGACCTGCTCCGCAGGCACATCTCCCCCGCTGAAAGCCATCCTGGCTGTCCCGCCCCGGCGGTGGCTGCACCGTCAGAGGATGCTGAGGTTGGCGGTGTCCGATGCTGTCAGAATGCCATCCAGAAAAGCTGAAGCAGGCGGCGGGCGGGTGTGAAGGTTGGCAGGCAGAAGGTGGGGAGTGATCGGATGGGAACACCTGGAGGGGAGCTCTGTCCAGGTCTTGCTCTGGGTCTTGGCCTGGTCCTGGTCCTTGGAGGGCCACGCGGGGTGTGATCGGCTACTGATGATGCAAAGACTTGATGTTTGCGAATAGGGAATAACAAAATGTCCGATGGCGCCTGTCAATCAGCGTTGCAGTCCTCGGAGCACAAGACGAACAGGCTTGTCGCTTTGTTGCCGTTCGTGTTTGCGTCGCCAACTTTGCCATGTGCGGCACTGCCAGGGTGCATCTTGAATCGCCGGAGCTGCTGATTGTCAAGCCGCCTGCTGCGAGCAGTGCACAGACCCTAGACTAGCCCGTCCCCTGTCAACCCCGCGGACCAGGGTGTGGAGAGCAGCTGTCATAAGATGTGAGTGTGCAATACAGCCTTCCTCACCCGCCCTCAGTTCACCGAAAATGGCACCTCTGTATTGATGCAACACCCTACGTATCCCTTGTAATATCGCATTCCCGTCCTCAAGCAAATTCAAAACTGCGCCTGTAAACTCACTCAAGGAGCTCGCGCAGATACAGCCAAGCACCCATCCGTGGACCTCAACCCGTAGAACGCCCACCAAGTACACCACCCAACGCTATGCATGCCATCAGGAGACAAATGAAGAAGCAAAGGAAATCAGAGAGGTCGGTTCGAGGCGGCCGAAGCCATACGGGAGTGTTGCACATCCCCCCTGGCGGCCGACGACGACAGGATCTCACTTGCGGTGGTGGTGCTCCTCGTCGTCCTCTTCCTCCTCTTCGCTACCCTCCTGCTCCCCACCTTCTTCATAGTCCTCCTCCTCATAATCCTCCATCTCCTCGTCCTCCTCGTCATCATCCCCTGTATCGCTGCCACCAAAATCGAACTCTTCATCCGACTCGGCCCAGAAGTCATCGTCGTTCTCTTGCTTCGGCGGGGGCGCGGCCTCGAACGTCGTAGGCATCTCAAAGTCTTCGGGTATATCCTTCCGGGACGCCTCGACCGTCTCCCTCGCCTTCTGGAGGTACTCGGGGCGCCTGTCGCGGTACATGACGCTGGCATCGACGTTCGCGGGGGAGTTGATCTCGGGGTCGTCGAGGAGCAGCAGGACCGAGCGGAGCACGCTCTCGGCACCCTGCAGCGGAGACCACCGCTCGCTCGCCGCCTCGCCCGACATGATGTCCTCGCCGGGCTTGTGCAGGATTGAGATGCACAGCTGGCCGTCGGGGTAGATGTTGGGATGGTTGATCGGGATCAGG